GCTGGAGGTTTCTTCCTGTTCAAAGGGAGTTTTTCCTCTCCACTGTCGCTACAAGCATGCTTAGTGTGAGGGATTGCTGAAGAGTCGATTTGGAAAATGATGGTTAGTTGCAGCTCTAGACAGAGCATATATTGAATTATTGTTCAGTTTCTAGTTAATTTTGGGGACTTTTTTTATAAATGGTTCCACTTTACTGTCCATTAATCTGGAAAACAACATTTAATAAGATTTCTTTTGTATTATAATGTCTGTCTTGTGTCTAAAGTTGGTTTATGTTTAAAACTGTTAATTTTAGCTGTTTTAAGGCTCCTTTAAATAAGGCTGGGTTTGGCTAAACATGTATTTTAACAGTGTTTAAAGATCCTCTCCATGTTTAAGATCCTGTTCATTTATATCCGCTTAATTCCGCTTTATATTTACTAATCCCGGTTTATACATCTTGAAATCATTAAAGCGTTTCTCTCCACGCAGTTACAGAAGTGTAACCCGGATTATTCCCCATGCTAACTGTGCTAGCTCACCTTCTCCTCCACACAGTGAACAATGATGGACGGGTACTTCCGGCTCAGCCAGCGGAAAAAAGCCGGGACTCCCATGTCTGCAAACGGCCTTCTGTCAGTTTATGAAATAATAAAAGGTTAAAAAGGACCGCGGGTAAAACACTCGGGTCCGGTTCTGGGTTGTGCTGGACTGAAACACCGCGGCTACATGCTGTTACAAACAGCTTTGTGTACTTTCTCCGGGTTACTTTCGCAGCTTCCGGTCGTGGTTTTGTGGGCAGCCTGCAGCGCCTCCAGTGGACGGGAGTTTGAATAACAACACTAAAAGGATTTTAGTTGAATAGAAGTTGTTTATTTTAGGTTTATTAATCATCTATTTCCCGTTATACCACTGAAATGCATATTTCACTGTTTTTGTTCATGTGCAGCAATTTGAATTTTCTGTGAACTTGCTTTGCCTAAAATCAGTAAAGAATGTCTAATCTGATGTTTACTGTTTAAAAGTAGAGAAAGTGTCTACTTCAGGTAATCCAAAGCAGCATGGAAAACACTCGTAGAACAAAAAGACGGGAAAAAGACCAACATACGTATAAATACCCATGTAAATTACCTGTGCAACTTCTATATATTCATATATATCTACCATTCTGCTACTCTTTTTGATTATTTGATCTGATGTAAGGAGTAAATTTCTCCACTGGGATCAATAAAGGCAATAAATTAATCAGTCATACATTTTGATTTAATTATTTTCCTTAATGAGAGTATTACCATTTTAAATGTATGTTTTATTCAAAGATTTTATGAAATAAAATAATAATAAAATCACACAAAATCTGTTAAATGCAAAGCTAATAATGAACTCTTCTATTTATATTTCTGATTATTATTATTATCACTCATTTTATGAATATAATTCATTCAGAAGTTAGCAGTAAAGGAAAAATGTCCGTTTTCTTCTAAAGTTCAGGGTAAGACACCAAAGGGGTCGGAAAGACTCATCAAGCCAAACTGTAACGCTTTTTTTTTAAATAGTTTTTTATTTTTGACAAGCAAACATCTCATCATATGTTTTTGTGATACTAATCAGCTTTGATGATAACTTTGAGGATAAAAGTTAAATTATAAGGAATCTTTCGTTTCCTCCCAGCGAGCCGATTCAGATGTATCATTGTTCAGAAAGTAATGCTTTTAAAACATCTGCGTTCAAAGATGAAAATAAGCTGATATGATTGTTTTATCTCTTTAAGTATCAGTTAGATTCAGATCTTCTCCACTATAAGGCCTTTTGGTTGTCTTCGTGTTTTTATTCACCTTCATTTTAATCTGATTAGGATTCATCCGGACTGATAAAGAAACTCATCTTCCAATTTTTTTTATTTTATTGATATAAACGGTAGATGAAATAAAGACAAAAATAGATAAAAGGTGCATCAGCAGGCTGCCTGTAACTGAGCTGAGGATTATCTTCATTTAATGGAGACGTTCTCTGCTCCCAGGCTGCAAGTTTAAGGTGAATTAGACCCCCTGGTTAATGCAGGGGGGGGATTATTACTGCAAAGAGCTACTGATGGGAAACACTTGGCCTGCTCCAATGAGCCATTTCCATAAAGAGTTCATGTGGAGCTGCAGCTGATAGGATGAAAGCAGGAAGGAAAGGATGGAAACAGAGGAGCTGAAATTTGTTAGGAAATAACAGGAGAGAAGCAGAAACGTTCTGAACTGAACAGAGAAACAAACCTGCTGCTGAATCCAAACAAAGAGAAAGAGATTACAGTGCAGTTCTAGCAGAGGCAGAGCGCCCCCATGTGGAAGCTTTCCACCAAAGAAGCAGGGGCGCAGCTAGATGGGGGGCCAGGGCCCCCCATACCATTTTTTTCCCCTAAATAAAGACAGTGGCAGCAGTAATACTCTGAAGGGAAACGTTCAAACTTATTA